TAATTATTATTTATATTCTATAGGAATCTGAAATTCAGACGAACCATCTGTTGTGTTATCATAATTTAGTACATTTTCCAATATATTTTAATTTCTTTCTTTCTGAAACCTGACGTCCTTACAGTACTATACATATATAAAAAGATTAACACCCTAATGTGGGAAAGAAGATCACTGTGCAAGCTTCTTTGTAGTGATCCAATCGACTATACTTTATTGCCAAGATAGAGCATTAGCAGGGTTTTAGCACCCAGTCTTTATATGTGCTAATACTGCCCTCTGCTGGTTAGTCTTCTCTTAAACCTTGAATGCAATATTTCTGCACAATGAAAATGTTTTCCTTCATTGTAATTGATACACCGTAATTGTCTGTGCAACTGCTATTTTTAAAAAAAGTTTTAAATAGTTCTGGAATTAGCTTAGCTTACAAACTTTTTTTAAAAAAAGAAAAATCCTAAATTATGCTCTTCATGCACTACAGACATGTGATGTATGTATGTATGTATGTATGTATGTATGTATGTATGTATGTATGTATGTATGCATGCATGCATGCATGCATGTACGTATGTGTGTGTGTGTGTGTGTGTGTGTGTGTGTGTGTGTGTGTGTGTGTGTTTGTTTATTCATTTATTCTATCAACTTCTATACCTGCCATCTGACTGTAAGGCCACTCTGGACAATTTAAGGTAAAGGTTCCCGTTGACATGTCCAGTCATGTCCGACTCTAGGGGGAGGTGCTCATCTCTGTTTCCAACCCATAGAGCTAGTGTTTGTCCGAAGACAATCTTCTGTGGTCACGTGGCCAGCACAAATAGACACGGAATGCCATTACCTTCCCACTGTGGTGGTACCTATTTATCTACTCACATTTTGCATTTTGCATGATTTGAACCGCTAGGTTGGTGGGAGCTGGGACAAGCGACAGGGGCTCACTCTGTTGTGTGGATTCGATCTTACGACTGCAGGTCTTCTGACCTTGCAGCACAGAGGCTTTTGCAGTTTAACCCGCAGTGCCATCACGTCCCACAATTTACAACATACTAAAAGAATAACACTATATATGTAACACATCATGGTTACATAAAGATCAAAATCAAAATACAATATAAAGTCACACATAACTGAAACAACATCATCAACAACATAAATACCATTGATTTAATGGCATTAAGCTATACTGAACTTCGGGGTAATGTATATTCATGTTTGCACTGCACCTTTTTTGACAACTCTGGATGTTATACAAATCACCAGGAACCATATTTATCATGCAGAGAAGCAGCTAGTACTGTTTCCTTTTGATGTCCAAAAAAAAGTTTGCAGTGGGTCTGTGAATACAATTCAAAAACATAGATTTTGTATGTCCCCCAAACAATCTCCCCATTGGACATTACAATGAAGCTCTGCCAAATGGAAGCATGTGGCACTTACCTCGTGGCGCAGTGGTTAAACTGCTACACTGCAGCCAAAACTATGCTCACAACCCGGGATTCAATCCCAGGTAGCTGGCTCAAGGTTGACTCAACCTTCTATCCTTCCGAGGTTGGCAAAATGAGTACCCAGCTTGCAGGGGGAGGGGCAGCAATGTGTAGCTTGCATAATTAACTAGTAAACTGCCCAGAGAGTGCTTGAAGCGCTATGGGGCAGTATATAAACAGCACACTTTGCTTTGCTTTTTGCACACCTGGATTAACAAGTGGCTCTGATAAAATCCAAAACCACTCTGCAAATATGTTCCTGCTGTTGCCAAGTAGAAGTCTTAAAGAAAACTCCAGAGCATAGCTAGAAAGGGAAATTCTTTGGGCACCAGTATTTTTATTTCAGAGTTTGGACTGTGACCTATAAAAAGAATTAGCTACCATTATAGCTTTGAAGTCTAAAATATTTTAGTTATTTAAAAGTGCCTTTTTATTTCCTTATTTCCCATAAACACTGAAAAACGCTACTTCCAAATTTCTTTTTAGAGAAAACTACATGATACAAGACATTGGCAAATGCTAGAATACATCGGCACTTTCAATCTATTTCTTTGTCACATCTGTACTCACAACAGAATGCAAAGCATACCATAAGGCAATACCTGAATCATTGGGTGCCAATTATTCACTATTTAGGAAGGCCATCCCCACATAATTATAAAGATAACATTATATATAAAGAAATGACATTACACCTCATTAAGTTGTAATCATAATACTACTGGCTTTGTTAATGAAAAATAATGTTTACATACAGCTACTTATTTGTAACCATTTAATTCAAACTTGTGTGTATATTACAATCCAACACAGAAACTTCAGGAAAAAACCCATTAGTGCGAGATGGTGAAGCAGTAGATGCACTGTTCTTCTAGCAGCTTGTCACCACAACATACATGCCACCAAATTCTTTCCAAGTGAACTTTCGGAATAATTCTTGGGGCTCATAGATTATCCAGACTATCGCAACGAACTGAGCGGTAAATATGATCAACAGTGACAAACATTGCCCAAGACCTACTACATGTCTTTCAGTCTTAATGAATCATGTAGCAGGCTGGAGAAGTGCAAGGAATGTTGGCATGGGAATCCAAAATACTGTAAATCCCAGTTCTATACACTGGTGCCTCATTTAACGATTGCCTCGTTTAACGATGTATTCGCTTAGCGATGAGGTTTTAGGAGCAATCTTGCGCTCCGTTTAGTGATGTTTCCAATGGGGGAATTTCACATAGCGATGTTCGGGATCTTGCGTCACTTAGCGATGACAGTTTAGGTCCCCCTGTTTCGCTTAGCAATGTTTTTGACAGCTCCATTTTCGCTATTGTTAAAAGGTGTTAAATTGTTTTAAAAGGATTTAGAGTGCTTGAAATCGTTAGTGCACTGAATAAACTGAATAAATGAGGGTCCATATAGAATGGATTGGGGCTCTAAGAATGGATTGTTATACCTAGTGCATGAAATGGGTTTTGGTGTTCCTTATGTTTTTTGTTATTTTATTCATTATTTCAGTATTGTACACTCATTGTCCCCAATATGAAATACTGTTTTTTATTTGCTGTAAGCCACCTTGGGCCCTTTTAAAGGATGAATGTGGGTAAAAAATATTTTAAATAAATAAAAGCAGCTAAGCTCTGAACAAGACTGGAGAATGACCTTCTTTTCTCCCCATTCCACCCACAGAAAGTTCTTTGGCAACATGAAAAGGATTCATTTTGCAATTAACAGTGCTTAACCTTTACAGTGAATAATAGGTCCCAGCTAGCAAGCCAACATTTTAATACATGGAATCTTAATACTGTTAATGTTGTTACTAGCTAATATTTCTTGTACTGAATTACAAAGATGCTGAGCAGTTCATAATTACAAAACTTCACAGTTCTGCCTGAAAAAGCCCTAAGAGTATTTCTGCTGTTAGCAGGAACCACACAAAACTTTTTTTGAATTAAAATTTTAGATGGCTTTAGGCTGTCAAGATGTGAAATATGGCTACAAGATTGTCTGGCCTAGAAAATTCAAATTGTACAGCATCTGTTAAAATATGCTTCTTTCCATTTTCACATTTTTCTATTAGCCTCATAGAACTCACAGCTGACATAGAACTATTCATCTATGTTTTTCTAAAAATACAGAACAAGTTAGAATCATAGAATCATAAAGTTGGAAGGGGCCTATAAGGCCATCAAGTTCAACCCCCTTCTCAATGTAGGAATACAAAAGAAAAGATACCTGATGGGTGGTTTTCTTGATTTCTCTTGAATGCCTTGTGTTGGAGAACTCACCATCTCTCAAGGCAATTGGTTCCACTGTCATACTGGTCTAACAATTAGGAAGTTTTTCCTAATATTCAACCAAAATCTGGCTTCCTGTAACTTGAGCCCACTGTTGTGTGTCCTGCACTCGGGGATGATCGAGAACAGGTCCTGCCCTCCTCTGTATGACAGCCTTTCATGTATTTGAAAAATACTATCATATCTTCCCTCGGTCTTCAGAACCTTGTATGTTCAGTGGATTAAAAAATGTGGTTGGTTGGGAAAGGCCAATACGAATACCTTCAAACAAGTCAATGGACTTAATCCAAGTGTCAGTCTCAGCATGGGTAGACCCACTAAATTAGAGGCATCTATATAAGTTTTGATTTACCAAAGTCCCATTAATTCAATGTGTCTAACTCTAGTTATGACTAACAGTTGGATTTTGTGCCAGCAGAAACCTACCATTGTTGGAACTTCAATCATGCAAGGGCAAAAACAAGTCAGGGTCCTGGCATGGTGGCAACGTTTTTATGTTCACATAACGGCTGCAATCACATCAATGGGTCAAGAGCAATCTTTGCATACCACCGTGCTTATATAAGACAAAGGAAGGGAACGCAGGTGCAAGGAGGGGCTTCACTGAGTTTCTCAAAAATCACTAGAATGATAATCTTACAAAGGGGAGTGTTGGTACCACACAGCTCTTTGCAGAAAGAAGTTACTTTACACCACCAGCACCCAACCTGCAACAGGTGACCCAACTCTTAAAATATTTTATTTGAAACACAGTCCCTTCGCCCTCAGAATACCATCCATTTACAATGGAATGAGTTACAAAACCCGAGTAAGCACTGCCAGAATTTGAGATATGCTAAATGAAACCTGGGTCTTCACAGAAAAGCAGCAAGGGATGATTCATCCTTTCTCACAACATCGCCAGCATGTGATGGAGGAAAAGTAGGTGTGCTTTTTGAAATGTAGCAGGTGATCAGAATCACTATCTCTACAATTTTCCTTGTACTGTATTCTGGAAAGATCCAGAAGTTTTTTTAAAACACATCCTAAGTGAAATTACATTGTTAATCTCAAGTAGAGCAGATGCAATGAATGAATGGGATGGTTTAAATCAACAGTTATGTAAATCACATACACTCAGTAGACTGCCAAATGGAATTTGTCTGGATTAACAGCTGTATATAACTTCAAATAGCAATGTGTAGTTACATATTTGAAACTTTCAAGCTATATTAAACTTAAATAGTAAAAAAAAAGTCTCATTCAGTGCATGCCTTATCTACATATTTTAATGTTTATGTTCTAACACACATGTCTGCATTTCCAGTGCTTTAGTTTTATTATTTGTCCCCTCTGTGCATGTGGCTGAGTTTCTTGATAACTGTTTCATTATAATATGCACTTGTCCTCTTTTGATGGTAAACCATAGGACAAGTATCATATGACTTCATTTTTTCCAATTTCCTTTCCTTCACATCTGCCCCCATTTTTATCTGCTTCCATTTCTTCTGGGCTCTGAAATGAAGATACACACATATCTGAAAATTAGTACTAGGGAATTCAACTACAAATCTACTTATGGCTGCTAGAATTTACTAGTCCTTTTGTTAACGTGTTAGAAAAGAAACCTATGCCTGCAGATATATAAGTATGCCTCTGTTAATAAAGTGATAGTATTAAGTTCTGAGTAAATATGCTTTAGAATGCAATGCACAATCACATCCATCTCTTTATTCTACAGGTTTCTCAATATAATGTGCACAGCAGTAATCAATCCTAAATAGGATTACTTAAATATGAGTCCCATTTGCTTAGTGTTACAGCTACAAATTAGCTTTAGTACTTTCACTGCTGCTAGTGGGCATCTGTAGTCCTATACTATGACAGTTAGAATCAATGGAAATTAAATCCCACTGAAATCTATTATACATTCTCCCAAGTAACTGTACATGAAACCTCATAATCCTTCCACTTGAGGCACCTAAACAAAGCACTATAATACCCTATTCAAACACACATGCCAGTCTAACCATATCCCTTGTTCTTTGGAGATGGTCTTGTCATGTGTTGCGTTGCACTGTCATAATCTGACATGGCTACATGACTTTCTGATTCAGCCTCATCGTAGCTGACTATCTGCTAATTTCAATAGTGCTGCTTTTGTTTTGGTTTTTGTTCATATATGTTACATTGTTATATTTACTGTTTTATTATCATTGAGAGATCCTGCTAAAAGATATATTAATATTTAAATCTTAAAAACAATTTTGAAAATTTATCATCTGTCCCAAATGGTAAAAACTAGAAACAAGTTTTGCACAAATTCTGTTGATTTTCCAGTTTAAATAACTGGTTGGGTGACAAGTTGACATTTATTTTCCCAGAACACATAAATACCTGAATACATTTTCTCAGCTTTAATACAAACTTTTGTATGTGAACTTCTTCTTCTCCAAGCTGGTATATTATATACTGAAGTACTTCTCTCTGTAAAGTAAACACAGACCGTTTTTTTTATGTTCTTCTGAAATTCCTCTTCTGCCAAACTAGTTAAAACACACACATGTGCAGATTGTTGGCCATTGTGTTACCTAACATCACATGAATCACAAATCCTTTTGGAAATATTTTAATTCCAAAGGAAAGTACACTCGAAGTTCAACCTAAGGATGTAAGATTCTTGGAGAAGTAAAGTCTACCATATACGAGGTAGAACAGGGATGGCTAACTTCCAGACATCTGGAGCTACATGTGCTTATGCCCAGATTTTGGAGGACTACATATTCTCTTGTGACTGCTTCCTGAAAGTATATTTCTTAAAAATATTTTTTCCCCAGAATACGTTTCCTCCCTCCTCCTAGTGACAGTAGGGAGCAATTTAACCATTCTTCTTTGGCTGCTCTTGAGCTGTTCTAAATGGCCTCTGGTTTTGAAAGAAAAATGTTCCACCCAGTCTAAAACAACTAAAGGGGAGACAGACCATGGCAAGAGGCTACAAGAGGATTTTTATTGCACAAAAATTACTGGATGGCCCAAACGTGCAGCCACTGGGTCACATTTTGCCCATTCCTGCTGAAGATAAGATGATGAATGGCTTACTAAATGAACTTCAGCAAGAAACATAAAACAAAAGTAAAAAGAGAGAGAAAAAGTGTGGCACTTTTTCACTACATCACTAAATAAAGGGATATTAAAAGAAGGTAAGATCCCAATAGAAGCTATTGTGAGAATATTTCTAAATCTGTTTCTTGATTTAATAGACCTTGTGAAGAAACTGAGAAACTGGGGAACATGGGATATAGGCTCTTCTGGAAAACTGGGCTTTTCTCTCAGCGGCTGGGAAGGGCCACTGAGGTGGGCAGTAACAAGAAGGGAGCGAGTTTATCTTTTCCCAGCAAAGCCCAAAAGCCAAGTCAGCTTGTTCCCTGAGCTGTCCAGATACTTATATATTTTTTTAAAAAAAACATAATGTGGAAAAATGGCAAGGGAGGATAAACGGATAGAAGTGATATCTTAAGTAATAATTAGAAAATAACAGGATTCCAAAAACCCCAAATATAAATAATGTAAGTGGGCTTTACTACTTTAATAATCTTCATACATTTTTCTCTGAACACTTTAAAATGTCTTGTAAAATATTTTTATACAGCAGGTAATCTTGGAAACAACTTGGGGTTTCGTGATTCATATGATGTTCCAAGAAATATTGAACCCCCCAAAAAATGTAGTACACACATTTATTCCCATGAAATAATTATACATGGTCTTAGAAGATGCAAATTTTCTGTCACCAGTAAACATTTTTGCAAACCATTCTTTGGGTACAGCTTGTCTCGTACTAAGAATAAAAGGTATGACAATATTTTGTAAATCTCACAAACATAACACCTGGGTTTGTAAAATATAAATCAATTTGAAATAATAACAGGTGTGACAAATGCAAAGAAAGAACCCAAGTGTGGTTTTCTGTATGCAATAACAGGATGTTATAATTTACATTCAAGATAGCCGAATTTTGCATTTCTAGCCTTCATAGTGTACTTAATTTTCATTTAACTTTAAAAGAATAAATCTTCTGTCACATATGACTGCAATAGAATCTCCTGGCCAAACAGAAGAATCTTTTGTTTTTCTCATAAGCGTTCAACAGGACACTCATCATTGATCCCCCCTATAACACTGCCAATTGCTCAGTTCAGTCCTTGAACAAGGCAGTGATTTATAGGGCTTCCATTAATTCTGGCTGAAACCTGGATTTGTCCAGTTCCCTCACAAAACCTATGGCCCCACCCCCATTTAAAGTCTAACACTCTTTTGTTGTCTGTAACCAAATATTTTTTCCTGAACTGATATTTATATTCTGAGCAATGCCAGGATCATGTGATAAATTTCATCACTTCTGCCTAAACATTAATTGCTGCGTTCTATTATGCCTTTCTTTGACTCAAAGTGTCTTCACGCAGAGTTCAAGCCATGAAATCTCTTCCTTGCCTTCCCATGGTCTGGCACCTAAACCTTTAAGAACTGAATGAATGAGCTTTTTTACGGTCACTGACCAGCAGATATATCCAAATGTGACTATAATGCAAAAATACAATGAAAAGTAGCATAAGGTAGCAATATAATGTCATATGTATACAATCTGTTGCAATGTAACTAAATTAGATAGAGCCTACTAAGTTTCACTGGACTGAGGAATTCAATAAATAAATTCAGTAAACTCTGCACCATCTCCAGTCTCATTGTCTTAAGCAGTATAGCATATAGAATATAGGGTGGCCAGTACACATTATGACAAAAGCATTACAAAACATCTATCTGCGCCTTGATCGGTGCAAGAAGGGAATGGCGACACTTCATCGCTGCTGCACAGAACTTTGCCACTGCTATGGTTATATCAGACTTCTTGTCTGAGAGTAAGAGTACTGCACCCTCCTCAGAGATCAAGTTTAACAGGCAGTAGTACAGTAAATTGTAATTAGGTCTAGCCCTGGCATTAAGCCCAATGAAGGAGGCACCTCAGGCAGTGGTGACTGGCTACAGCGCAACTCCTACAACCACCAAGCAGCACCAGCCAGTGACCATTCTGATGTGGCTTTTCTAGCAAGTGTAGTCCCACAAAATAACTTTCCCTGTCTATCTTCATTTTTGAAAAAAAAAATCTGTATACACCTTTCATCAACAATTATTTCAGGTTAATTTAGTAGGTTTAAATCATATGCAAAACACCATGATTACAAGACTGGTAGATAAAAATATGACCCAGGAATGCTAGAAAGTTCATTAAAATGGTTTATATGCTTAGGGTATTTTTAAAAGTTTGTTTAAAAGAAAGCAATAGTGGCAGCTAGAGAACTTCATGGGACAGGCACTTCATAACTGAGGTACCACAAAGAAAAAGTTTATTTCACTAAGACAATTTCATGGTAATATTTATTTCCCACCACGTTTGATGAAACAGAATGCAGACTCATTAGCAAATCCAGTCCCACTCCCCACCAGAAAAGTGGTCCTATGAAACTTGGTACACACCTGTAGGTAAATTCCTCTTGGCTTCTTTGGTCATACCAGCTTTACTGTAGGTCATGTTTGGTGACCTTCCAACCACTGAAGAACTCAAGGAAATGCTTCTCCCATTGGCTCTCTGGGAAGGAACATAAGAAGCATTCTCAGCATTCTTGCTTTGATCATTTTGTTGGAAATTCCCTTTACCTTTAGGGTTTGAAGTATGCATTGCTGCAAGAAATAATAATAATAAACAAAATCAGTATTTCCCCAAACTTACAAGCAGCTACTCAGTACTCTTCAGTACACAGGACAAAACACGTTCTTCTCCAGATGTCATAGAAATATGACTGTCATCATGCCCAACCACAAGCTATGCTGACTGTAGCTGATGAAAACCACAGTCCAATAGGATCTGGAGCATGCCAGCTTCTCCAATCTCTGTATAAGGAAATGAATGGGTTATCAGATCCAGATAAAGAGAATTTTAACAGAAGTGCTCAACTGGTGAAATATGACCAAGTGGAATTACTATGTATCCAAAAAAGTTGCTCAAAATACCTTTTGCTGTCAGTGGGATAGACAGGTTTTTTGACTCCTCAGATGTCCATTTCTTTTTTTTGACTCCTTTAAAATTATGCTTCTTTATGCTTTCTGTATAGCCTGTAGCTTTAGAAAACAAAAAGGACAGAATTCATAATTCAGTTCTAGAATGACAACTTGTTCACATGTTTTAAGGCTCTAGTATGTTTTGCAGGACCTACCTTGCTACATGTATGCGTTTCAGGAACTATGGACACAGGCATAGTCTCAACAATCATGACTCTAAGTCCTACCCCCTGTGAACATTTTCCTGTGGTATAAATGGGTACTTATATTTGAATAATCTGGTTTTAATGAAAGATCACTTGGCTTTACTAGTTGTTGTTGTTTAGTTGTTAAGTCTCCTCTTGCCTTCACACTTTCCCAACATCAGGGGCTGTCCTTTCAGTGAGCACTCAGGGTTGATTTCCTTCAGAATGGCTTTACTTAGTTCAGTTTAATGTTTGCTTTACAACTGCTAATTGTCTGATATGCTGACTGAACTAGTAAAAACATGTTCTTCTGTTTTACAGTTTACAGGAGGGAGCTTATCAGTCAAGGCTCTCTCCTATGGGTCACTTTACCAGGCTGATCTGCACAATCTTATTCCAAATTTCTGTTGTCAGACCAAAATCTAGCGGTATCACTGTTGTTATGTGCTGTCAAATCCCTTCCAACTTACAGCAGTGCTATGAATGACAGACTGCCAAAGATTTTATTATTAATAGCCCTTCTCAGAACATGCAAAATCAAAGCTATGAGTTCTTTTACTGAGTCAATGCATCTGATATTTGGTCTGTCCCTTTTCCTGCTGCCTTCAACTCTTCCTCGCATTATTGTCTTTTCCAGAGAATCTTTTCTTCTTATGAAGTGTCCAAAGTGTGATGACATAATCATTTTTGCTTCTACAGAGACTTTAGGCTTTGCCTGACGTACCACCAACTCGTCTTTCTCGTGGCTCAAATAATTTGTAAAGCTATTCTCCAAACATGCTTTCTCCAACACAACATGCTTTCCAGTCAGCTCTCTTCATCTTCCAGCTTTCATATTCACACATTGTAATTAGGTAGATGATCTTGGGCTGAGTCTCCTAAGATCATTTACTAGCTGTGGCTATGGAAGCTCTTGAGATATTTAGTGCTGTGATAAATGGCACATTTTTAAAAGTCCAGATACTCACATATTTAAATATGGTATGCCTACTATGTGACACAGATCTTATTTGATAGCCTGCAACACAATCTCTTTTGAGCCTCTTAGGAAGTTGAAATACTTCATAGGACAGTGAAGATGAGTTTGCTAAGTGCTGCTCTTACTGAACCCAGTAGCTTAATGTGGCACTAAAGAGACTGGCCTGCAATTCTGCTGAAAGTAACAAGCTGAGTATTATGCATTATAAGAGAATGAAGTACAGTTACAGCCTCTGGCACATATTGTAGACAAAGCACACTGACATCTTGCCAAAATGTATTTTTAAACTGCAAAGGCGTAAAATGTGTTTTTGTTGTTTTTAAAGGTGCATTTTTCAAACTTAAAAAAATAGAAGGAACCTGCGCCAAAGTACCTTTAGAGTTTGAACACCTCAGTATGGGAAATCCTTTATCTCCGCTGAACACTTTGCTTTGTATCCCTCCAACAAGAATACTTCTTTGTGGCAAATAACAATCGCCTCCTAGAGAGAGACCAAAAAAAAAAAAAAAAAAAAAATCTGAAAATTATCAGAGAAAACAGAACAAATAAATAATATCACAAAAGAAAGAGGTAAACCATAATCTGGCTTCCAAAATCTGTATCAGAAAATGTGCCCTTTAACAAATGTATTAAAAAACACAAAAGGAATGAACAATCAAATTGCAAATATGCAAATAAAGGAGGAAAAGACAAGGCTGGGTATTGATTCTGGCACAGAAACAGGGCCCCTACAGATCTGTTTCATTTTCCCAGAAAGAACACTAAATTCTACAAATGCAGTTCTACAAATTAAGCTGTTGCTGCATTGATGTGCTTCAGTAAGCAGCATGTGGACAACCTCATTTTTTGGAAACAGAGGAAGTTGCCAAAGGTGCTTGCATTTATTTATTAACTTAAAATATTAGTATATATTGAGTAGTAGCCTTTAAATTTTATCTACAGCCCATGATGCACCCCTACAAATAGGGTGGGCACAGGTATTTCTCTGTTTTCTATTGAAAAGTTCTCTCAGATCATTCAACAGTCTTATTATCCTTTAATAAATTGTGAAGAACATCCTGTGTTATTGTTGTTGCAGGACTGCCTTTGTCCTACAGTCCAACCTCACAATGGGCAGTCCTAAATATGTGACCTTACAGTACCACAGTGGGTCAATGCTAAAAATTGAGTACAGTCGTGCCCCGCTTTACGACTGCCCCACATTACGACAAATCCGCTTCATGATGATGTTTTTGCGATCGCTTTTGCGATCGCAAAACAATGGTCAAAATAGGTTTTTTTGTTTTGCGATGATCAGTTCCCGAAGCAGGGAACCGATTCTTTGCAAAACAATGTTTTTAACAGGTGATCGGCGATTTCAAAATGGCCACGGGTAATTAAAATGGCTCCCCGCTGTGTTTAGGGACGGATTCCTTGCTATACAGGCGGTGAAAATGGCCACCGTATAGGGGATCTTCGCTGAACAGAGAGTTTTTAGCACACTGGAACGCATTGAACGGTTTTTAGTGCGTTTCAATGGGCTTTTTATTTTCGCTTTACGTTTTCACTTAACAGCGATTTTCCTGGAACGGATTATCGCCGTTAAGCGAGGCACCACTGTAGTTCCAATTTCTAAGAAACACTTGTGCCCAGTTGTCTATGCATGGTTGTTAAGTACTCAGCATTTTCTGCAAGCTCACTACATAAGGGCAAAATTAGATATTGGAAGCAACATTCTGGCATCCCAAAAAAAAGCCAATTTTCATTTTTGTGTTTCTTAAAAAAAGTAAGCTATGAGACAAAGGCAGATGGCAACATGAGGTGAAATCTGGGAAGCCAGAAAACTCCGAGTAGAACTTCAGGACCAAAGGAGATGCAGAACAAACAATAGGAAATGTATGTAAAACAGTATAAGTACAGGACTGCTGGATGTAGGTTATATAAACTTTATTTTTATTTTTTTATAAAAGGTTTTTAAAATTACCCAGTATTTATATAGGCATTCACTTTCTTAACGTTTATGAGCATTTAAATAAGGAATGTATTACCTCCATTTTCAAAGGCACTAAGATCAGATCTAGCACTATTGTCTAAAGATGTCACTATCTCTGTTTGCCTTTCTGTATTAAATTTTGATGGAACTGCAATACTATCACCTAGAAGAGAAAAAGACACAATCAATTAATTTACTGAATGCTAGCTACTTGACAGAAAGAGTTTTTAAAGCATAGTTATTAACATGAATCAAGCCATTATTCTACTAGCTTTACCCCTCCCCATCTGCAATATAAAGACTTTGCTATTGGTTTAATTTATGGAAATGGCAAAAGCAAATTGAAGAACAATGTGATTGACAGTGCCAGCACTGTTCTATCACTCAAATTCTTACCTTCTTGTAAATCTCTGCCAGTTTCCATGGGTTTCAAGAACTCATTCTTCAGAACTGAAGGTATGATTTTTGTTAAGTGGTTTTCCTGTGAAGTCTGAATTCTGTAGTATTCTCCTGAATCACCCCACAGGAAAACAAAAGAAAAAGAAATATTACCACAGTGATATCAGCAAAGATCAGTGGGGAGAATCAGTAATAAGATTCTCACCAGATTTATAACATATCTCCTTTATAGTCTTTTCTTCTTCTATATCTTCTGGTGTCTTTGATAATAAATAAGATGCATCTGTAGGAAACAATTTTAAAACATTATTTTAAGTAAGTCCTTTCCAGATTTTTTCCAGCACCATTAAAACCAAGACAGAATGGCAAACTTCATTTATAAAATAAGTCATAGCAGAACTTTCACTGGTGAAAATCTGCATCAGGTTTGCTTTAAAAATAAACTAGGAGACATTGCTCTTTTTCCGGAGAAACATAGCTCTCCATTTTCAGCATCCCTGAAAAGAGAACATTTTTATACAACATGCTTTTAAGAATAAAATGGTATTTTACTCTTCCATCTAAATGTTGCCATTCTAAAATTTATTTTATAAAATACAAGTATATTCAAAAGACTAATATCTTCATCAAACATTGCCAACTTCAGCAATTCCTCCTACCTCCAGTTCTTGATGCCTTTGGAGAAAAATAGGTAATAGATATTTTTGCTTTTGTTTTTAATAAATAGGGTTTACGTAGTTTAAAGCTATCTGGAGAAAAGCTTGAAAATATAACTTCAGTGATCCCGGAAAGAATAATCATAATCATCAACAACATTATCATTCAACATTAAAAGAGGTTCTAAATTTAGGGCTACCTTTTAATAAAGAAGATATGATCTGCTAAAAACATTGTGTACGTGAATATGAATGTTTGACAAATTATTTACATTCATCCTCCTGTTCCTCTTCTTCCTCTTCCTCAAGATTTATGGTGATAATCAGTGGAGGATGAATAGGTCTTAATGTATTTTCTTGACTTTTTGTGGAATCTTGATTTTGAACTTCATGCAAATTCCCCTCCTGCACTTCCCTTTGCAATGTGGAATCTATAGGAAGGAACTTCAAGTTCAAAAGGCAAAATACTGTCTATTTTCAACATAGATTAATACTTAAAACAACGGATAAATATTACAGCTAGGACCATCAGCTTATTAAATAAAGAACAGTTGACTGATCATATGTTTGTGAAGATTTTGCGAGGCCCCTCCTGTTTCCAACCTGGTTCCTTCATTCAAATCATCAATCATAGCTTCAGGTTTAAATTCAACAGGATAGAAATATTTGTCAACTTAGCATTATCTAACTTTGTAATTAAAACATTGTCTACATACATTAAATGTCTTTTCTTTAGAACCTCAATGCCCCCCTTCTTGGGTTTTAACTGAACGTGAAACAGGTAATAATAAAATGGCTCCATAGAGAGCCACAGCTAACTCCATGCCTGGATCTAGAAGTGAAATACCCAAGCTATTCGGTTCCCAAACCTTCTTGCCCAGAATGCTATGGATTTGTCGGGGGAAGAGTCTCTTCCCACGACTGATCCCAGGGGACGTTAGGCATGCCTGGTTTTATCTACTCTCTTTCTGCCTCTCTCTGAATGCTCTTGTTCCTTCTTTCCCTCTCTGCTGTTTCTCTCCAGTAAGGAAGTTTCCACAATTTCTTACTCTTCCATTTTCTTTCAGCAACTTCTCTTGGCATCCCATTCTCCTCTCCATGGATCATTTCTATTATTTCTATCCAGCACTCCTCAGCAACTGTCCTAACACCGCTGCTACTCCCCCTTTTATCTCCCTGAACTTTCTAAAGTTCCAAGATTCTGATCAGTCATCCCTCAAGTCTGTTAACACAGGATTGACTTCAGCCAACCCTTCAGATTTGGGGGTTGAAGGAGACAGCACACCAATTGGTTCTCTTTTTCTCACATTGTTTTAGAGAGCAATCAGGTTCACAGTTCAGAGTTACACTTCTTTGAGTCATTAGAAAAAAGCTTTCATGGAGGCAGCCTCTATCAGAACTCACTACCCTATGAATTTTGAGAGTCATGGGGAATTCTCATGATTCCCATGGTGCAGTGGGTCACTTTTCTAGTGGTTTGAAGAAATGGTGTGGGAATAGCATGGAAATTCCTCCTGTAATATGAGATTGGGAGTCCTTCAATTGATGTACCTAATTCAAAATGCAGCTGTTAAACTTCAAAGCTATACATGATTTGGCACTGGGTCAAATGAAGAACAGTCTACCTCCAAATATACTTCCCAAGAAAACATCTAGAAGGTCTCCTCTGGATGCCTTCTCACCAAGATAAAGAAAGCTGGATACTAAGAAAGAGAAGGTTTTTGTATTGGTGAGGCTCTAATTATGGAACCTACTCTCCAGCGAAGCTTGCCTGGTTTATGTATGTGGTGTTTCTTGTGCCACGTGAAGAATATTTTATTCTCCACAGTTTTTAAAACTGTATTAATGTTTTGTGTTCTTGCACTGCTGCTAGTTTTAGTTTTAGCCTTATCTTGCTTCTCCTCCTCTTCCTCCTTCAGAAAATATATATTTAATTATAATTATTTATCTTTTTTTAAAGTTTCATGTTCTTAAATTTTATTTTGCCAGGTCCCCACAAAGCTTTAGCTATTAGATGCTTTACAGATGTGATAAATAAATAATACCCTTTTTTTCCTGTTCACAAATAAACCCATGTATTGTCTTTCCTTTTGTTGCATCTGTTAATCCTATTTTCATGATTCTGAGCAATCTGCCATTATCATAGACTTATGATCATTATTAATATTCTTTAACTATGCATGCTCAGGATTGAAACGTATGGTGCAGAAGGCCAGTGTATTGATCACATACAATTTCAATTGAGTTACACCAAGAAGACTCAGGTAAGCTTAACAAAGTTCTGAATTGCAGCCTAAATTTGTGTTGTACTAGCCTATATTCTAAAATGACTGGTCTAACAAAATGTGAATGCTATATGTTGCCCTGGCTCCCATTCTGTTGACAAGAGTGCTTGTGCAGAGAGCACAAGAACCACTTTCTATGAATGGCTTCCAACCAGAGTGACATTTACACCACCCACCAACACCTTAGATCTTGCATACAGTTCTGGTTCTTCTCCTGGAGAGTGACACCTATTCTATGCAAAAGACCCATAAAATCAGTTCCCACTCAAGCCTGATATCAGGATGCTCAGAATGATACTGGGATCCGTATAGCAACTTAGAGCTCCAAGGGACTAGTACCATCTCTAGACTTGCACAGTCACTACCCTGATGGTAGCTCTAGCTGTGCTGTAGTTGTCAACTGGCCCATCCTTTCCCTAAGTGAACTTATATGAAGCTGCAGAGTTGTAAAGAATATCCACTGATTCAGTGGGCCTACTTTAGTGTGACTTGCCACTCTACGAAACAAGAATTCTACCATAAATTTTTATATCTTAATCTATATTGGGTACATGATAATAAGCAACTGTTTATTAATTCTGGCCTCATGTCATGTTTGCTACAATTTGGAAATGCTAATTTTCTGGACTTGTCAACCGTCAAAATAATGAGCTCTTTCCGATCAACTAGGCACCAGGCAGAAGTGTATCAGTATGTAAAAGCTAGCTTTCTTCTAGTTTGACTTCATAATACAATTTGGAATACGTTTAATTGCTACTATTTCATTTCTCAGACTATTGAGAAAACATTTGTACTCACCACAGCTTGGTGGCAAAAAGAGTCCATTTATATTACGAGGTTTCCTGTGATGGAAGACGCAGCTGATTCTTATGCAGCCCAAAGGCTGTGTTTCCCAGAAACATGAGATGCTGTTGTATTTTTGCTTTGGAAAAAAACCATGAATAGTTCCATATGCAATGCGTACGATATACTACACAGTCATGGATGAAAATCTGGAATTCATTAAATTAAATTATGGCTTACTAACAATAGCTAAGAAAGAGCAAACAATGGCTGAAATCCTGTTGCTTAGCACAGTAAGATGCACTAGAGTAGGCCCACTGCATCAATGCTGATTTGGTGAGTTAATTCCTCTATAAGACTTAAGTCACAGATAGAGTAGGCACATTTGAATCAATGGGATTTATGGAGGAATTGACGCACCAAAGCCCACTGATTCAGTGGGCCTACTCTAGTTAACCTTACTATGCTAAGAAACAAAACTTCAGCCAATGAATGTTCTATTTTTATATTCATTGCCCTAACATCCTTTCTGGAATGAAGATGTGGTATTTAAGGTATTTCCGTGCATGGCTGTGTTTTACAGTATAAAACATGCAGACATAAAGGCGTGACATTACTGAATTGCTGAAATTATTCTGGTTGGTATACATTTTAGCAGAAAGACGTTTCTCCACCTGACTTCAAAACTGTCATTAAACTAGAACTGAGCTTCTGATTACAAACATTATAGACATCATGTATGTCAGTGGACTGGATCTGAAGATGTCCCTCCAAAGGACTCCTTGTCTCAGAAGAGCTGACTATATTAATCAACATATTACCGTATTAGGAGAGCACTTGAGTTATCTTCCTTCTAGTTGGATCCAACTATATGTGGTACTACTCATAAAATATTTTTCCTCAGTTCCCTTTAAATCATCTTGACTGTGATCCCGAATGCCTTGAAGCCAAAGATCATTTTGCCACTAAATTTATTAAGACAAGATTTTACAAAAAGTAATTCCTTTTTCTTTTCTGTACCCACCCATATAACAATGTTCTATCATCACAGTACCGTAGTGCCAGTAGGAGTGTTATGGGAACAGAAAGCTGAATTAGATAGAGGGATTCTTAACATTCAGTGAACTCATTTAGTTTTTAAGTTTGGTAGAAGGTGTAAACCAGTACTATATTTAGTCACAAGGCTGATATCTGGGAGTCATAAGGACACTCTGCTTCATAAACGTGAAGCTAAGATGTCACATTTACCATAGCAGAGGTAAGCAACATCCTTATTATAAAAGCTCTTCTTCAACAAGGGCCACTTCAAAGAACTTGATAAGGCTACCTGTATTTCCATATGTCTAAATTTGCACAGTTGATGGGGACATCTTCCCTCTCTCCATAATGAGCACACGCTGTCACTGCCAATGGCTTTTTCACAGTGTCGGAATCGGCACTTTGATCCCTAAATAGAGAGGAAAGGAAGGCCTGAAAACGCTGCCATGCAACATAGCCTTTAGTTAGAATACTTTCTAGACTGGTCTTCTGGTAGCTTAAAAAAATCCTTGAATTACACATGAAAGAATAATTTCAAATACTTTGAATTTTTTCAAATTTCAAAGACTTCACCAAATAAAAAGTTTCCTTCCGCACTGGAAAGCTTGTAGCTGGTACCAGATAAAGCATCTGGGGGAAGAAATTCCACTGGCACCATGACTGTGAGAGACTTAACTCTGGTAAAAAACTTGGAAAAGTAATTTTTTTTTTTTTGGACTGCAAATCCCACAGTTTCCTAGCCAGTATAGCAGATGAGACTGTAAACTGGGAGTATCAAGATGGAGTTAAGTGGGGCAAGGATCCAACCTTGATGGTGGTGCTGCACAAGTTATTATTTGTGGACTTTTTGCTATTCCAAAAAGTACTTGTTCTGTTCCACTGCTCCAGTGTGGATAAAGTGATGGTAGTGCAATTCGTAGTGTATCTTACTATTGATTACACGAGGTAGGGCATTATTGCAGTCCATACTTTGCCCACCTCAGCACTATGTATATAAAATGACTATTAGATAAGACATTACAAATACAGGTTTTGAAAATTACTTTTCTGGATCACACGTATACTAGCTAGCATGTGCCCCCTCTGATTGAGGGATTTGCAGAGTTGTTGTCTAATGCATTTCTAAATTCTTTATGCCCTGTGGATCTCTCCTTCAAAGGAAACTGAAGCTGTAATCTCATATATGTTTACTAGGTAAATCAGCTCCTATGAAACATAGTGGAGTTCACTTCTGCATAAAAATCTGTAGGATTGCATTCTAAACCTTGGGGCGCTCTCTCATTAAATGTCTGTTGATGTGCAGAAGTGAAGACTGCATAATATTTATAGATGTGACCCATTATAAATTGTTAGTATTTACCTTCATACAGGTTGAATGTAAATAGAAATAGCAGTCATCCCCAGTTTCTGCCATTGCCACCACTTGTGCTTCTACTCCACTGGTTTTAGAAAGACTTCAGTATAAATGTAAGAACTATCAAGGTGTAAGGGAAGAACATTCCCTTTTGTTCTGAATATAAATGTATTCAGAATCTAAGTTCTACAGCCTCTTAAAGGGAGACCTCCAAATGATAGATCTATTCATAAGGCTACTTATACTAAGTGTAAAACAGATGGTACCTTCTCCAGGATTGTCAAAGTGCTCACACATGGAAAGTGGTTGCTAGACAGTGCGCAAATTCAAACTTCCAGAATTTTTCATTGTTACCTTAGTTCTTATGACATCATCATAAAGGACATCACACAACCTCTCATAGCTGCTTACTTTCATCACTCCTATGTGTTTTAAAACAGGAAGTGTATGGTGATTTCTATGTAAGATATTCATCCCATCACTTCAACACACATTATCAGCTTATCAATTAGAAGAACTATAATTGCCAAGATATAAATGGGAGTAGGAAAAGTGAGAATATCAACATCCACCTTCTGTTCACTTCTGCACACCTATCTAAGGCTTGATTGTTAAATGTATTTGGCTCCTGGGTTTAATTGGAGCCACAGCAACTGACAGGCATATCTGTCACACAAACTGCAGTTAGTGGCATGTATCCAGTTTCACACCATTGGGTTTGGAAATACAGTACAAATGCCTCCAGTGGGCAAGATGTATCAATTTTGTGGTGGATACTTGGTGTCATGAAGCAGGGATATTAACTGTTGCTTGTCTTTCTTCCTCTGCCTCAGGACTTGTAGATTTAGAGTTAAAATAGACAATTATCACTTTTTATATGCACTCTCAAATGTGAACATTTCTTTGTCAAGGATATGGTTTTCCTCATCCATTCATCTTACATTTAATATGATTGTCCACAAGAAGATAAATAAGAGGCTGATTTGTAGATCTATTTGTTGGGATCTCCACTTTTGCATTGCTGTGGACAAAACACATATTAATCATAGGGGAATATTCATTCCCTCTAACACATAGTCTGAGGCTCAGTTATTTCCTTGCTTTCTTGAAAACACCATTGTTGAAGCATAACTTTGGATTCAGCTACTAGAAAAGGCTCAAAGAAAAGAATGTCCATATGAGATAAGGGCATAGATTTTGAAGGTTGGGGGTGCTGGATATGTTATACTGGATATACAATGAAGAACCTATTGACTGAGAAATCTTGGAGATTGGTTTAGATGCAGCACACCATTACGTTTATAGCTGCAATAACCAAAGTCAGAACAGCTATAGTGAAGTCTGATGTCTGGTAGGAGAACAGCAACAATGAGAAGGAGGCTAGATGTTCATAGTTTTGAATGATTAAGATAATGTGGGGATGGAGAAAAGTAGAACTTGGAATCATTTGCTGCTAAGATTGATGTGCAAAATAATAATCATGTCCCATTGTCAGTTCTGATTTATGGTGACCCTTTTGAGGGTTTTCCAGGTAGAGAGTACTCAGAAGTGGTTTACCATTTCCTTCTTTCAAGGATGCCCTGGGATAATGCAGCTTGTCCAAGGCCACGCAGGCTGGCTCTCATCATCATATATCAAAATTGGACAGGAAGAAGAGTATTCTAAACTGGCACTTGGTCAGAAAGGAGTTGATATGAAAGAAAAATCAGGGGAGGCAACTAGTGATTATATGTCCTGTTACTTTCAAACCTATTTCCAAACAACACAGACAGAGTTTTATTGAGAAATAGAATTACTTCTTCTTAGAGGTATGTTATCGGCTGTAAAGAGTAAAGGAGTGGGGAAGCTAACAAACATTTCTGTTGATGACATGGCGCTGCATTGTAATTGTTATTTTTTAAAACTATATTAATCATTATAGTTCTGTTATTTCTTCTGGTTAGTGTATTTTGGAATTATAAAAAATAACAACCAGTCACCATCTTTTCTGCCGCAGGTGGTCAATATCTTCTCAGCATCTAAGAAGATATCTGTTTGGTAAGAAGATAAAGGAGCCTGCACATTGTATATTCAAGAGAATTGCTGGAGGGCAGGCAAGCTACAATTGGATTATCAGAGTTGTTGCTTTGGGATTGCAGGTTTACCACAATCTTCCTGTGGGCACTTCCTTGTGTTCATGTAAAAGCTGTTTTAGTTTTAAATAAACTTAAATAAACAAAGAATATTAGAAAGATGCTAAACGAAATGGGATATGTAAAGTCTAATTTCAAATCACACATTGCTAGAGGGGTAAAGAACACAGAAACGGTGCCTACTGCAACCATTCTTATGACTTATTCAACCTCCCAAGGCAGGTTTACCCTAGTAGTTCTTGTAGTCTGATGATACCAGATGTTCCTTCCATAAATGAAACCATGAAGATGTCACCTGAAAGAAGAAACAAACTGATTTTGTTTTGGCTAAAGATAAGTTAGTATTAATGTTTAATGTAATTCTGCATGTATTTTTGCAACCTATAGACACTTTAGTCCCGTACCAGTCCAATATTTGGCTCCAGGAAAATGGTCCACTTGTTTTTATAATATATAAAAAAACACATAGCAAAGAAATAGAAATTGATAAGACTATTCTGTTGAGTAGGATGCATATCTATTTGCTGGAACCCTGTTGTGTACTTAAAGGCTTAACTCAACATCACACCCATAGTAGCTAGCAACACTAAGCACTTCTGCCCACACACTTTACAACTAGTCATGATGGGGAGCATGTGACCAACTGTGCAATCAAACTGCACAATCTGCTTTGCCTAGATGTAATGCCCAATAAAGGTATGCCAGTGAAACTTTACATTACGCTGCAAAGAACTGATGCTTTGCCTAGATGTAATGCCCAATAAAGGTATGCCAGTGAGTTCTGGCCAATACACTCATTTTATTTATTTATTTAAAATATTTTTATCCCACTTTTCTCTTTTAAAAGGATCCAAAGGACCCAAGGTGGCTTACAACACTTATTAAAAATAATCACTATAATAAGGCACATTATACAAAATGAACTATACTGCCAGCCTAATAGGTAGCTGTTACTAAACAGATGTTCTGGGACTAAACCTTCAGAATACTGGTGTAGACTATAAAAACTAACAGAAATCTCAGCCCTAACTCAATAGTGTGACATGACTGCTTACACATTACTCATAATAATCCTATGTCACCTTGGAAGAGTAACACACTTTGTCACTAACTGTCGTGGGCTGAAGCCCACTTCATCTGACCGACGGAAGCATCCATGTTGCGACAGCTATCTTCAATTTGGGTACTAAGATACTGTTAATGCTAAATTCAAATATGCGAAAGGTAAATTAATAACCCGAATTCTGCCCCTCTGCAAATGTTACTTGTATTCCTCTTCTACCCACGCCCTTTTATATGTGTTTATTTTCGTACGTTAAATGACGAAGAGTAAACTACCAAAACACTCCTTTTGGCTTTTGGAAAGAATATGAGAACAACGCCCTTTGCGAGCACAGGTGTTCCCAGCGGCGCTTTTTCGTGCCTACGAACACCCGTAAAACCACCGTGTCGTTGCGCCTCTGGAACCTGCGGAGGACAAACTGGACGCCAGGAAGCCCAAAGCTTGGCCGTCCCCAAAAGCACCCAGGCCTAATTCTCACCTTCCTCTCTAACCGGTCCTGAAACTACATTTCCCAACAGCCCTTGCAGCTAGGCCTTGTCGTTGCCTGGGAAGAAGAGGAGAAGGGGGGAGGTGGTACTCCTCCTGCGCCTCCTCGTGTGGGGACGAAGGGAGGTTGGAGGGCAGTTTTGCGGTGGGCGCCTGGGAGGGACGCGCTGCGAGTCCCTCGAGGGGCCATGAACCACTTGGGGTCCGTGCAGCAGAAGGTCCCCTGTCTGTTCGTCACTCGGGTGACGGAGGAGCCCTCAGCCAAGCGAGAGCGCCAGGTAGGGAGAAGGGCGGGAGAACGAATCAGCCCGGGCGCCCCCACCCCACAACACCTCACCCCACCCCACCCCAGGGCCTGTCAGGAAGTCGGGTACAAGGGGTTCCGCAGCTCGTTTTTGTATCCCATCCTGCTGCAGTGGCGGGTCGTTACTATAGTCTTCCTTGGGGGTGTTTCTTAGTTTGACCACCACCACCCCCGGCCAGTCATAGGTCTCAGTACAAAAAATTGATCGGGATTTGGTTCTTACCCATAATATTAGGGTCCACTAGTTTCTTACATGTTATGTGATGTAATGGTGTGGCTGAATTTAAGAGATACAATTTCAAATCCAGGCCAAAACATGACAATCAACTGCCACTGCCACAGTTCCTCAGTAGCTTCTAATTTCTGTCTTTTATCAAATGCCAAGAAGCAGTTTAAAAATCGCTAGAGTTCTCGTTAGCAGTCTTAACTCAGCTTGCTATATCTGTGCTTATTTCTAGTGGAGAAAAATATCAGATTTGGACAAGTGTGTTTTTTGGACTATAATGTCCTTTATCAACGTTGTGCCACAATGTTAGAGGAGATAAAATGCTTACCATAATTTTATTGGTGACCTGGCTTCTAATTTCCAACTGAAGCTAGAGGACAACTGTTGTTCCCTTGATAAATGATGCATGGAATTTTTGTTGCTATGGATATTACCTTTTAAGATTCCATAATCTGGAGAAGCATTTTGTATTCCTGTTGTACCACTCTCTGAAAATGCTACTGAAAACTAAAGATGGCATTTTTTGTGTGTGTGGTGAATAAGTTTTGAGAACCTGTGGGCAGCATAGAATAATACAGATTTTATTAATAATAATTCCCCTCATTGTCTGCTAAAGAAAACTATAGTTCATGATGTTTTCCCCTCCTCAGCCTTTTAAAGTGTTGGCTACTGAAACCATAAGTCAGAAAGCCTTAGAGGCAGATATCTACAATGCAATTCCTACTGAAAAGGTGGATGGAACTTGCTGTTACATAACAACCTACAAAGGTAATGTGGAAAGCTGTATTAAAAGGTATAGTAGCAAAGAAGTAAGTATGTCATTGAATGTATGATTGTTATCTTCATTGTAAACATGCATGAAAAAGTATGCAGCTCCTAATAGAAGGGCAGTGCTTGGGCTTTATTGATAGTCAATAAAATAAGGAAAGTAAATGAAGTATTTGCTCATTTACTTCTGATGATGGAAATGAGTAGATCAGCTGGCCCTGTTGGCCATAGCCTAATGCCATGGTTGGTGAGTTGACTTCTGTGGACTGGCCTGCCCACCTGCATCTTTTGCTCTCTGGTTTCTTTCAGTACTGTACATGAGTGAGGTTTCCCTTGCCCTATCCCACTTGCCAAAAGAAGACAGGCTATGTTGTTCTCTCATTTGTATTACATACTGTGATTTTAAATTTGCAAGCATGTGCATCCCTTTGCTGTTTTATGCAAATACAATTTGAGCACTGAGTTATTGGATGTCAGGGTTAAATCCCCACTTGGTCATGGAAACTCATTGGGGAGCAGTGCTGGTAAAAGCACTCCCTGAAAAGACCACATACTTTGGAAACCCTACTAGAGTCACCATAAGCCATACCCAACTTAAGAGCACAACAGTAGCAGGGGTATGATGTGTCAGTCAAAGATACAAGCTCAGACTAACCCAAATGCATATACAGATGTTTTGTAATCAGTGGTCCAAACTATCTGAAAGAGTGCTTCTCTATTCACAAACCTATGTGGGTTTTAAAATCATCAGAAGGTCATTTCTTTCAGTCCTGTCACACTCCCAGGTCCATTTGATAAGTACACTCTTAAATGGTCCTTCTCTGTCGCTGCTCTCAAACTCTGGAACTTCCTCCCATGGGAGGCCAAGGTTGGCCTTTTTTTTTTTGCTGTACTTTTGCAAGCAGGCAAAGGCCTTTCTCATCAGGCCGGCTTTTTCTCAATAACGGGCTGCTTAAGAGAGTTTTCCTTATTTATTTATTTATTTTAATGTTTATGTTTATTTTTAACTACATGAATTTAAATTGTTTTTGCCTGTTAGATTTTAATTTGATATCTGCTTAATTCTTTCATGAAAGGGTTTTTTTTTTAGCTTTTCATCTTTGTTTTAATATTGTAAGCTGCTTTGGGTCCTCTTGAGGATAAAGGTGAAGTGTCTGAATATTTAAAATAAATTAATGTTTGATGCTACAACTGGTAGTCTTATGATTTCACCAACTACACAAGTTACCTTTGTTACATTACAGTTAATTGTAACATTTGTGATATTTTACTGATGCTTACTCAGCACACTCAGTTCTTGAGGTAGAACTGTTTGATTGTCCACTTCCAATATGCATCTGTTTTTATACAAGAAATGCATCCTTTATAATGTGACCTGAAAATCTAGATTCAAACAAAAAGGAATACAGATATAAATAGTATTTCTGCATTATTTAAAAAACTATTTTTAGGATTACCTTAAAATTGGTAGGTCGCAATTCAGCCAAAATGATGCACTGAAATCCTGTAGTATAAATACTTGAGAATAAATTTAAGTGAAGTTGGTGCCCAGACTCTAGATACAATCAGAAGGCTAATTCTCACCAGTGTAATGTGTAAGGTTTATGCATCCAATTAATTCTCACACAGAGACTCAAAGTATTTGATTTTAGTGAAGCTGTGACTGCATTTACTCAACTAAAGTACAAAATTGTACACCTTTTAAAAATCACATTGACATGGTTTTAAATGTGAACTTTTGATTGCATTATATGTCTATGAATAATGACACCTATTGGTTTTACAGGCTGAAATCCTGTTGCCATACAGTAAGTTATGCTTTGCAAGGCTGATGTCAACAAAATATTTCCAATCTCTCTCTTTTGAAGGTCCTGAGGCTCACATAGGATCTCTTTTGTCATGGGGAACTATTTAATGACTGATAATTACTGCTTCAGTCATTTCAGCGGTGGCTATTTTCAGAAACTGAAATTTGCTAGAAAAAAAATCATTAAAAATATACTTTCTTTCAGAAATTAAAGAGTTTCACAACCTCCAATAGCTTCCCTGTGCAAGGGGATCCCACAGGAGCCTCATGATCTTGTGGGTGAGGTGTATGATTGGAAATGAACTATTTCCAAAAATATTGCTGCAGTTGATGATGCAACCTTCCATATCAAAGCTGCGCTAACTGGATTTCAGTCATCCTCTGTAGTATTAAATATACATAAAGCATTTTTCAAAACGATTTCTCAAAAGGATTTTCTGTGAGAAGCCCTAGTGTAAACTTCCATTCTTTTTGTAACTAGGACGACCATATCTCTGGGCCCGGTTGGATAGAAAACCCAATAAGCAAGCTGAGAAAAGATTTAAGCGATTTTTATACTCGGCAGACAATTCAGAAGGTTGGTAGTGATTTCTGTGGTAATTAATAGTTACCCTAACTTGTGAGACAGTGAAAACGTGATACGTTTCTTTCTAGCTCATCTGCATTAATCATTTTCTCCCAGTCATCTGTAATTTTAGCATTCACTCATTTCTCCTTGTTGCCACTGCCTGAAACTCTTATCAGCAAGAGTGCCAACATTTTCAGGAACTGGAAGGGAAGAATGAAATAATAATTCTTTATGTATGTATGTCCATAAGGTTCTGCCAACAATTCTTTAAAACATCTGTTGGCATTCAGGCAGTGGAAAAATGATGTGTGTGCGTGCGCGCGCACGCACACCCAAAGTTCAGTATTGTAGAGACGGAACTGTAGATTTTTTTAAAACTTTGGGACATGAGATGTCAGCATCACCTGGACAAATATGACCAAAACACTAATTATTTGTAGTTCCTAGAATCCATTCTGTTTACATAAACTTCTGGAGCACTGGTTATTCTAGATCAGTGGTTCTTAACCTTTTTGAAAGAAACGCCCCCTTGAGCCATTGAGGAAGTTACCATCGCCCCCCCTCCCCACGGTGATGATATCTTATTTATTTATTTATTTATTTATTTATTTATTTATTTATTTATTTATTTATTTATTTATTTATTTATTTATTTATTACACTTAAATCCAATGAT